CGCTCCTTGATCGCTATCGCGAACTAAACTCCCTGGTCTACTTAACCTTAACAGTCAAGCAATTTTGTGACGAGTATTTCTAATGAGACAAAGATAGCATCTGCCCTATCAGTCAGTTTAAGCCGCTGAAAGAATACGGACTGAACACAACACACACCCCCCTGTGACAGCAATTTTATACTCGAGCACACACAAAGGACTCGTGTGTGCTCGTGTGTTGTCGTGTGCCTGTGTGCTGCTGTGCTGTGTGTGTTGTGCGTTGACATGCACGACCCTGATTACACGCTCCCCCCCCGCTCCCCTTCTCCCCTCCCACCCCCTCTCGCTCCCCCTCCCGCCCCCTCCCCCCGAAGCCTCACGACCTGACACACCCCGCATCCATAACAGCTACCGACCCGCGAATCCTCGCAACCACTCCACCACGCCGGCTACGTCGAAACCCCACAACCGCTACAACAAAAGCCAACAAACCCACGACAACAGGAACCGACAGCCGCACGAAGAAGATCGACAAAAATACACTGTCTCACCAACTTATCAACAGGTAAAGTTAACACATAAAACAGAAGCAACGACAACAAAGACAACAAACACAAACACGGAACAAACGACTACAACAATATCAAGAAACACAACCAACCACCCTCCACACCTAACCACCCAACAAACCACCGCACACCAAACACCATCAAACCACAACCACAAACACAAAAAACCACTAACCAGGCCCGCTTTAAAGGTCACCTATTATGAAAAATCCACTTCTTCATGTCTCTTCTACATCAACACTCTGTGTAAAGAGACTCTGAAAGTTTCAGGAACAAAGATTCTCTCTCTTTTTGTCCTGATCCATTTATATAAAAACCTGTCTGAAAATGAGCTGATCAGATTTTGGCCACTTTATGATGTCATAACGATGTTTTGTCTTGTGTAACCATTAGCCAATCAGCAACCAAGGTAACCCCCCCTTCTTATCACCTGAATCTCCTCCTAGAGCACCATTGTGTTCTTTTTAACCAAATCTCTCTCAGAGGGGCGTGGGGAGGGGCTCCTTATTTTCATCTAAAGTAACAGACGGAGAATCAGCACTTTGGAAACAGGGCTGAAACAGAGGGGATTATGGGTAATGCTGCAAAGATCTGTTTGGTGTTTCAGCCAATCAGAGACAGGTTCTGTATATATCTGAGACCTATACTATATTGATGAAAAACAGTATAATAGGGGACCTTTAAGATATTCAACATTAACAGATAGTGTTGCATTATGGCCACAGGTTCTAGATTTAAAATTCAAATATTCAAAGGCTTACATTACAAGTAATTTGTTAGTTGCTTTTATCCAAGCGACTTACATACATTCAGTACTGTGGACACAAACCACACAGGAGCAATCTGGGGTGAAGTGTCTTGCCCAGGGACACAACAACATGCTGACTGCAGTGGGACTTGAACTTGTTATCCCCTGATTTGAAGTCCAGCACACTACCCACTGAGCCACAGCCTCCCAGCTTAATTGTCATATGCACAGTTACAGTGTTGTTTTGGCAAGAATAATCTAAAGTCCCAGGTTTCACCAACAATGACATCTAAATATATCTAATACTCAATAAAAAGAGTGCAAGAGGAAAGAGAATATTTCTAGTGACCAAATGCACGTAGATGCAGAAATAATGTGATGTAAGATGTTCGCCATGCTGGTTGTGCAATATGTCTTCGTTCTCAGCAGGTGAGCTTATGATAACTGTTACACTAAAGCTACGTGTTGTTGTTGTTGCAGAGTGTTTTTATCTTCTGTGGAACTCTGAGGCGGAGAACAGAACAAATTTCCCTGCAGGGACATAAAAGTAGATCTTATCTTTCTCATCTTATGTAAAAATGGTCTGTGAAAAGCCCTCTATTACAGAACAACATCACAGAGTTGGATCAATCTTTCTCCGACACTGACAAACTAAGCTTCACAAATACAGTGTTTGATATGGGGCTATTGTGTTTTACAGCGCTGTTCTGAATACAAGCCTTTTCAAAAACACAATTCTCGCAAATTAATTGACAAGGCTTTCTTGCTTTAACAACAGACTACAGGTGTTATAAGGAAAACTGAAATGAAAGGAGGAGATGGAGGAAAATACAATTTTTTTATGTGCAGATGATATTTGTTGGTGTTAAGAAACCATGTTAACCCAGTTCCTCCTATCATGGAAACAGATTCTCTAAGATTTCAGAATACATGGTCACTGGCAGAAATCAAAGGAGTTGCCTATATCTGCACTCTTTACATCAGATATGGTTACTTTCAACTTCAAATGTGTCCGCACTTGTATGAAATACTTTGGTATATCACTACGTGCCAGACCAGACCTGAAAACAATTAAAGCCAGTTTTACAGAGGATAAAGCAACACCTAGAAAACCTAGGAAATTATTAGAACAAAGCTTATTGGGGAAAATCAATTTCCACATGACCATTAGTCTTACATGTAATCATAGATGCTGCAGATAAAGTTGCCGAGCAATACTTTTAAACAATTTAAATCACTTAATGAAGCTTTTCCGTGGGAAGGAAAAGAGCCTCAAGAGCCTGGTTTTAAACAGATTCAGACCTCCAAAGTATTGAGCTATTTAAAATGGCATATTGAAATACAGAAATGTAAAAAGCATTGTAGCCGGAAGGGGAAAAGGAAACATTAGTGCAAATAGAAATAAATACAACATATACCTATTTAATGAGGAGTTATGCTCATTTTCAGCTTCATATTTGTATTTGGTGCCTCTATTGTGACTGTATGTTCAACCAGAGCCCAGTCTGCTCTGATTGGTTAGCTGGCCGGCTCTGTTGTGATTGGTCAACCGCTTAGAGATGTCCCGACCCTTAGCCTATCACGTACAATGTGTTGGAGCGCTAGCCAATAGAAGCGTGAGTGTCACATATTGATGTCACTATGTTCCTGAAGTAAACAAAGGAATCCAATGGAGCGTTACAAGCAGGTAGGGAGTGTGTTGGAGAGAAACTCTGAAGGGAACACAGGGATTTCAGCCTATTCAGACCATTTACATGCACAAAAAGCTATAGAAGCTTCCCCAAATGTCTTTCTTTTTGGTGTCTATATACGCCGGGATCCGGAGTCATGGATGATCCTGCGGTCCTGTGTCATGGATCGCGAGTCCTGGATCTTGAGTCGTGGCTGTGGTCCTGGATCATAAGTCCTGGATGGATATCCTCGTGGATTCATCTTCTTATTATACACACATGCATTTCCAAACATTTGGACTACCTATGTTGCAAATGTATTATCTTTTCAATTTACACACGGCATCTATTGCACGTCTGTCCGTCCTGGGAGAGGGATCCCTCCTCTGTTGCTCTCCCTGAGGTTTCTCCCATGTTCCCCTTTAAACTGTGGGGTTTTCTCCGGAAGTTTTTCCTTGTACGATGTGAGGGTCTAAGGACAGAGGGTGTCGTATTGTCATACTGATATTCCGTACAAACTGTGAAGTCCACTGAGACAAATGTAACATTTGTGATATTGGGCTGCATAAATAAACATTGATTGATTGATTGATAGAACACACTAGAGGAAAGTGAGAAGACCCTAAAGCACAATAGGGCCTTTTTAAATGCGAATAAATAACGTATTTTCCTGTGGCGTCACCCTCAGGCCAAGCTTTACTGTCCCCCCACAGGTAAAGAAGTCAAATCCAACAATTTCATTGACAGTCTCGTGGTATTCTACCATGGCTGTAGATTTAACCTCACTAATCTATAAGTCACTCCCCTTCTCTCTCTTGTGTAGATTCAGCTCATGGTTAAACAATAGAGGACTGTTCTTTTAACATGCAGTATAAACTCACTATACTATCTCTGTTGTGCAGCACATGACCGTGCATGTGTTTACACGCCATCTGCATGTCGGCATGTGTCCGCACGAATACCGCAGCCTAAATGTGGGAATATCTTCAACATGTTGTGCGCTCTGTGAGCATCCGTCGCATCTGGAGGTCCTCGGGGAGGAGCAGATCTGTTAAATGCGCCGCAGCTACTGGAATCCCACTCATCTGCTCTGGAGTGAGCAGGCATAAACAGGAACCCCTGGGAGCCGATAATATGTTAAACGATCTGACTCCAGTCCTGCTCAACCATATCCAGCCCAGGCAGTATGCAGAGATATGAGGGTGTGATGTGTGTGTGTGTGTGTGTGTGTGTGTGTGTGTGTGTGTGTTTTATTGCATGTTCATTCCCAGAGTAAGAGCCAAGGCAATCAAACCAAAAGGTTTAGTTGACGCTCTGTACGCAAATATCCTCAGCAAGTTATTGATTGAACTAAACCTTTGAAATGGGGGTTTGTCAGTAGTGGAAAGCATGATACATATATATTCATTAAAAAGAGATATGCTAGTTTTAAAAATAATTTCAATTAACATTTTCTTGACACCAGTGGATGTATCTATATTATTCCAAATGGAGGTACTCCATCATAATATATCATATATAGTTTGTGGAACAGATACCCGTGACCTAAGAGTTAAATAAGAGTAATAAAGTTAGGATTACTGATACATTTGATCAGTTGCTGTAGTGACGTAACTCCACACAATGACGTCAGTAAAAACGGAACAAATGGAGGTAACTGTAATGTCTGTGTCATTTCATTTGGCCTTGTTTCTTATTTGAGTATATCTGCGCCAAATCTGATAATTTACTGAACCCACCGCAACACAAGAAACCTGCACAGCTGGTGGATCATTATAAGCACATTGAGGAGATGAAGTAGATATATATTTAGTCATAATCTCACAACCTATTTCTCATCATGACACTTGGAACACAATGTTCAATTTTTATATTAACACTTAGTCATAATGGTGTTCCTATTAGTAAAAGCAAAGCCAATAAAACCAACAAAAGCACAGCTCTATTTGAGATAACCCTAATACATCTTTTCAAATACGATGCATTGGCTTTTCACAGGAGATATGAAATCAAATTAGCACTTATTTCTGTTTAAATTATAGCTTTTGCCTTCATGGGGTTGATTTATATCTTAATGATATTAATAAATAAGTGATTCAATTTGGTGAAATTCTGATGCAATACAAAGCGTATGAAAAAGGACAGAGCAATGAGTTTGTTTTTCTCTGGAGAAGCTGACGCCTGCCACAGTCTGAAATCATGCTCTGTAACTAGATGAGTCACTTGGCAGCAGTTATCCTCTATCATTTCTAAACAGCCATTTCATATTAATCTGATACTAAATAAAGTTGCGCATAAAGAAACCTAAACCACAACTTAGTTAATTAAGTTTGAAAACATCCATCCAAAAGTCTTTTGGTCCCCGCTTCAGGCTTAAAGACGTATTTGTCTTTAGAAAAAAAAAATCTCCGATGCAATAATTTCACTTGTGCTGTTTTAGACACTTTGATCAATATCACAACACTGGATTAGGCACACTGCTTGGACTTGCAGGTCTCTGGCTGACTCAATACAATACAATAATAATAAACTCTTAGGCCCAAACTCCTGTATCAAAACATGCTGATGTGTTTAACTTTTTTAATGCAAATCTTTTCATTTCTCCTTGAAACTGCAGAGCACCACGTGAGATAATCCGTCTTGTTTCACTAGACACTTACTTATATAAAATGTATTGGGATGTGAGAAACTGCCCTGGGAACAAAATGAATTATCTCACTACGGTCGGCTGAATTCTTTCTTTTCTTTTAAAAAAAAAAAAAAAAAAAAGAAATATAGATTTTCAAAGGAGGCTGATTAAAACTATGAGCTACTTGTTATTTTGCAGTGTAACCCTACTATAAGGTCACAAAGTGGCGTATATAGCAATGTTTTAGTAAACTTAAGATATCTGGCATGCTCACTAACTCTTTTAGACTTGCACAGTTTTACACTTGATTGAATTTTCTGGGTGCTCACTCACTGTGACTGTGTGGGAGCTGCAGCCTCCCTGCACCCAGGGGGGGGGGACTCTGATTCTGCTCACTGTACTGCGTCCACACAGGCACTCAGAAAAAAACTAATTTTAAGGATGGAAGTAGGCTTTCTTTTTCTAGCTTAGCCAGAAGTAAAGAAGCAGTTCGTACTGTAACTACTAACATATTGTTGCTAGATTTAAGTATTGTTTAGTTTAGTTTAGCACAAAGGGTGGGAGCAGGGTTAGCCTAGTTAGCTTTTTTAATCCAGCCACCAGAGGTAATCTCCTTATTGTGAAAGGTTTACACATTTTCTTGGCTCACTAAAACACGGGTGACTCATGTATTTGGTGCTGACTGGATGCTAATAACACACACCATGTAAATACGACAGTTTTGGAGTTGCTAAATGTATTTGTTTTGCTGTTAGTGGAGGCTAACCAATTGTATTACCTGTTTAAGGCAGGACATAAAGAACAACCTGTATGAAACACTCATCAGACATTTTCAAATAGTTTGTTATCTTGCTCAGATGAAAAAGATATCAGGTAGACAAAAATGGACGTTGTGTTTTTTAGCCCAGCTTAGCACAAAGAGTCGTATAGCAGGGGGAACTGTTCAACTAAATTTTAGCCCTGCATCAAATACCTTGTGTATATTTAGCAAGTTTTAAAAAATATGTTTACCTAATGAATCCCCTCTCCTTCTCTTCTGCTGTATTATTTCCTCCTTCAGCTGCATGCACCAGCAGTCAAGAATGGACCATGAGCCAAACTATACAAGAGCTTCATCTGGTAAGCATCAGAAATAGTGCACCTTTCTTTACAAGCTGATGGATGGGATTCATCACTAAACTCATATGTTCTCTCCCCCATCTGTATGTGTTTGTGCTCTAAAGGGTGTTTTGGGAGGTCTGTGCAGTGGGAAGTCCGCTCTTGTCCACAGACATATGACTGGCAGTTACCTTCAGATGGAGAACACTGAGGGTTGGTTTCACATGTCCTCATCTACAACCATGATGTGTGTTCTCTATGACAATGGAGCTTATACCGGCAGCTACATGTCATTTAGATGATCCATTAATGTTATTAGTTTGACATGTTAGTATACAAAGTCAAACTTTATTCACACTTTGTATTTTCAGGGCGCCAGTGCATTAAGGACGTCCTGGTTGATGGACAGAGCCACTTGATGATTATCAGAGAAGAGACAGAACTCCCAGATGCTCAGGTGGGTTTGACCTTGGACAACTCATTTTGAACTTGATGTAATTTGTCTCTTGTGTACTTTAACGCTCTTGGCTTAATGCTCTTGTTCTTCTCCTCTCTTCTCTCCAGTTTGCATGTTGGGTGGATGCAGTAATCTTGGTCTTCAGTTTGGAAAATGAGGCCAGCTTCCAGGAAGTTTACAGAATCTACCACCAGCTCGCTATGCACCGGCCCGTCTCTGAGATAGCTTTCATCGTAGTCGGTACTCAGGGTAAGACACTCGCCTTTTAATTCAATTTGGGGTGGTATTGGCGATACCTGTGATATCCAAATTACAAAATATTGATTGTTATTCATACAAATAAGATAATATCATCTTAACAGTCCAGCGCCTCTTTATTAATGTCAGTTTCTTCTTGTTCTTGGTTTGTCTCCTTTATGCAAAGCATCCCACACAAACACATGTAATTAATTAAATGTACAAGATGACTGATAGCATTTTTTCTTTTATTATTTGCTATAGATATCGCACTAATACCTTTATCTTGAATTGTTGTGGCCACGATAAGTGACGTAAAAATCAGATAATATATTTATTATTTGTGCTTTTTCTAGATAAAATCAGCAGCACCAACCCCAGAGTCATCGATGATGCCAGGGCCAGACAGCTCTGCTCTGATGTGCGGCGCTGCACGTACTATGAAACCTGTGCGACGTACGGCCTCAATGTCAACAGAGTCTTCACCGATGGTATGTGAGCAAACCTGAGCTTTGAGGATTCTGCCATAGAAGATGCAGATATATAAAGTTTGTGTGTCTTTTTTGGTGGGATTAATGTTCAATTGTATTTGTTCCACAGCTGCTCAGAAGATCATGGCAGCCAAGAAGCAAGCTGCCCTTCTGGCTTCCTGTAAATCTCTCCCTAACTCTCCCAGTCACTCCGGAGGCTCCACCCCAGTGTCGGGGGTCTTCCCAGGACAGGTTAGACCACCATCTGTTCACTGATCATTAACATATATCTTTTTTTATTGGTTGAATTGCATATTTGAGTCTTGCTGTCTGGCCCTTTTTAAAGGCAGTCAGCATACTGTTGTATCAAACTCAATTATCGTTCTTTTATTATTCCATCATCCCCACCCCCTCCTCCTTTCCTCTCTCCTCTCTTTAGGCCAGTAATGGTGGTCAGAGCAGTGACTACTCCTCATCACTTCCCTCCACTCCTGTGATCAGTCATAAAGAGATTGGAAAAACTTTAAGAGATGAAAAGCAGGACAGTGCCACGCCTGGATCCGTCCGCAGTGCCACTCGGAGACGCACCCCCAGATTTGCGGTACATCAAGGGAATGTTTTTTGAGGGGCCCACCTTCTACTTCATTTCTCTCTTTATTGATTTTCCTTTAATTTCTCGAAACAACTACACATTGTTTGCCATTTAGCCATGTTTGAAACTAAACGTGTTTGAAACACATTGAAAAATATCAAATTATATATTGATAAAGTTATTCAGAATTATGAAATGTACCTTTTATTAAGAAGAATTACACAAACCTGGATCAATGTGGTGCTGAATGATGATTCAATATTAATGTTAAGTCTGTGGCCACTATTAGTTTTGGGGTTTTTTGTAGTCTCTTGCTTTAAAACTACTGTAGGGTGTATTACCTGAAATTTATAAGCTCATTCGCACTAGTGATTGGTGAATGGCTCTAATATTTAATCAGTTTCTTTAATTATCACATTTGGAAGAAAGGCTACGCAGTCAGCAGAAAATCCAAATACTTCTTATGGCTTTTTAACAAAATGCAGAGCAATTCATAACAAAAACGTCCATAATTCATGAGCCCTTTATTGTATTCTTTAACAAAGTGCCCCATTCACGCCTCAGTTATTGCTCCTCTTGTACTTTGTCTAGGGTCGGAGAGGCAGTGACTCAAACCGAAGGAGTGCAGAGTGTAAGGGAGATCTGGGCAGTGGACGCTTCATTCCCATCAAACAGGTAGGACACAGATTTGCATTTGATGAAAAAACAAATATGATGTATCTAATGACCCTCGGCAGCTGACATCGCACCAGCAGTCATTTCAAATCAAATGTTTGAAAGCAGTTTTATCTTGTGGAGCGGTGAGGTGTTGTGATCTCCCATATTGGCCTGATGAATAGCAAAGTTGGTGTTTTTGGCAGGCAGCAGTCGACACGCTGCCGAAATGTGAGAGATGAACACACAAGACGTTTGCAATAAATTCTCACTCTTCCATTTTTTTCACCTCCATCAGGGCATCTTGCTGAAGCGCAGCGGGAACTCGCTCAACAAAGAGTGGAAGAAGAAGTATGTCACGCTGTCCAACGACGGCATACTGTCCTATCACTCCAGTGTCAATGTGAGTCAGAGGGTTGACGGAGCTCAAAAGGATTGCTTCATGCTGAAAGCACCACTGACAGCTAGTGGTTGATGTGTAATGGCTGGTGTTTGCTTGGCAGGACTACATGCTGAACGCCCCCGGGAAGGAGATGGACCTGCTGCGCGTCACAGTGAAGGTGCCAGGGAAACGGCCGCCTCGTGCTGTACCTGCCGGGGGGCTTCCAGTTGGGCTCAATGGACGCGTCAAAGATGTGCCAGGTCCCGAGGGTCTCAGCCCAGGTAAACTAATATACCTACATATATACATCATATATTCTTTAGATGCCTTTTAAAGTATACACTCAACTGATTCCTTTACCCAAATCAATATACATGCATGAATCGATATGAAAAGATGCAGTGTTGTTTACTATGAGAGGAATAATAGAACTATACTTTGCTTGATTAGCAGTGGCTCTACACACTGGCCCTTTGCTCTGTGAAGCTGGGCTCTATAGACATGTTTTCGATGTTCTAGTCACAAATCAAAACTCACCTCTTCAGAACTACTTCTAAAGGGGCCTTGTTATGCTCAATTTTAGGGTCATATTTGTATTTAGTGTTATTACAGTGACCTGTTTACATGCTTTTATGTTCAAAAAGGGTCTTTATTATTCTCATACTGCCTGTGCTGCAGCACCTCTTATCACCCTCTGTCTGAAACCGGAGCCCAGTCTGCACTGATTGGTTAGCTGGCCGGCTCTGTTGTGATTTGTCAACCGCTTAGAGATGTCCCGCCCCTTAGCCTATCACATACAATGTGTTGGAGCACTAGCCAATAGAAGCGCAAGCTACATACTGATGTCATTATGTCACTGAAGTAAACAAAGGAGTCAAATCAAGGCTTTTCAGGCAGGGGGGAGTGTGTAGGAGAGAAACCCTTTTGGCATGTGCATGCACACAAACCCTTATACCATGCTACAGGAAAGGGAAAACCCCAAAAAGCATAATAGGGCCTCTTTAATGTTTAATTCATGTATTGTTTTGTTGTTTTAATGATGTTTTATGAATTTGACCCAGTAAAGTGTCTTTGAGAACCTGAAAAAGCGCTCTATAAATAACATTCATTGTTATTATTATAACGTTGTAGGAGAAATGTGGAACCTCCTGACCCTGGATAGTAATGAGCAGGAGTTTGGGGAAAAGCAGCCAACACAAATACATAAATCCCCTGATCAGAGGATTGTTAACACGTTGTTTGTGAAGAGGGGTAAAGCTTCTCTGGAGAGGAAAAATGTTGCAAGGGAATGCTAAACCTTTTATCTCAGTTCATACAGAATCAGTGATGGTGTTTTATTTTTATTCTAGCAGCTCTGTTTTACATTTGATGTTCGTGTAAGTTTGTGTTTACTTTATTAAGTGCATGCTTGCTTTCATCCTTGCAGTCCCTGTGAGTGCCAGCAGCCTCCTGCAAGTGGAGGAGATGGAAGGACTCGGTGGTGCACTGTTCCTGAGGAGCAACAGAGGCGTGCAGCGGTGTCCCTCCACACTGTCTAACAACGCTCAAAGTGTTGGTGAGTAAGGAACCTTTCTGTGCATATATTTAGTGTAACCAACATGCATTGATACATTTGTTTTTTTGTGTGTTTAATGGGGTTGGCAGACTCTGCAGTAGAGGGTGTGTCCAGCTCCTCCTCCACCAAAGACATAGGCTCCTCCTCCCCGCTGACGGACAGGAAGAAGCATCGCAGGAAGAAGAGCATTAACCAGAAAGGAGATGCAACCATTGGCCCAGCAGATGGTAAACCCTTTTTTTCAGCATTTAGCAAAACAAAAAGCATGCTGTGATCATTTCAGTATGACTTTAGTTATCTGAATAGTAATAGCAGTTATCGATTACATAAAATGGGATACTTTCAACAACTAACTTTTAATATTTCCTGTTTTCTATCCTCTCATACAGCCAAGCGCAAAATGTGGAAACTGAAAAGCTTTGGTAGCTTAAGAAACGTAAGCAAGACAGGTAATGTCGATCTGTCACGTTGCATCTTTTGCACTCAGTCAGACCCTCTGAACATTGTCAGCTTGTCAAGCTTTTGTCAACATAAAAACTATTTTAACTACATGTATTTCAATTTGAGAATGTGGTTATAATTGTACACTTCACTAACGCTTATGCCTAATATTGACCGGACAATATATCTACTTCAGAATGACATTTCAAAAACAGAATACCTGCTGAAAAATGTCTTGCTTCTATGTTTGTGTTTCTCTGTGTCAGATGAGGATAACTTTGACTTCCTCATCGTGTCGAGCACCGGCCAGACGTGGCACTTTGAAGCTCAGAGTGTGGAGGAGAGGGACTCCTGGGTCGCAGCCATCGAGAGTCAGATCCTGGCAAGCCTGCAGCTGTGTGAGAGCAGCAAAAACAAGGCAAGAATTAAAGAAAAAGGCAGCATTAGTTTAATGGACGAATAAGGTCAGTATAAGGAATAGTTTCACATTTGATGCAGTCACAAAGCTGGTAGAAGCCCTAAAGCAGTTACAATGTCATTTTGGTACAGCATAATGTTCACCTTTATTAGTATTATGTGGCCTCAAATGCTCCTGCTTGAACCAACGCGGGCAGAGCAATACACCCGGGGTTATAGTTATGCAGATTAGCTGCCGGAGCCCAATACTGGTACACATTATGTCATGAAATAGTGTCTGCATTTTCATCTGCTCAGACCACCTCTTAAAGCAAACTATTATTTAGCAGAGACACACACAAATTATATTAGTTTAGTTTATGAGTTTATTCCACACAATTATTATAAGACATAACATGTACACTTTATACAAAACATATCAATATGTAATATATATTACATTGTACATATATCCTGTAAGTTCTCATCTTTTCACTCCATGAAATGTAAATTCATATTTAAAAGCGACATTATCTGCCCTTGGAAGAACAAGAGGGTTGTATAATCCTTTCTGTGTACTTGCACCCTGGGACTCCTGGATAAGAACAGTTTTCTCACAGGAGAAGCTGGCCCTGGAAACTCTTACTGCTTCTACTTTTAAAAAGGGATGAGGGCAGCTAATTTGATTGTCCATTACCAAAACCCACATCATTTCCTTGAGTGTTTGTAGCAAACTAACAGTCCTGCCTGCTAATGGACTGTGCTGTTTTCTGTTCCTGTGTGGGGAGTAAGTCCTTGTTTGGAATTAGATCATCTCTAAATATGATAATTGCCACTAAGATAATTGTTCTGCTAATTATTACGTAAACCAAATGTTGCATTACTTTATTCATGTTATAGGGATTGTATGTCCTAGGAGGCCAAAACCACTCATTGTAATGCTTTAAATGGTCATGATAATGATGATAGCCATCTACCGCCACTTTCTCTGGAGATTTGGAAATTATAATCATTGTTAATAATTAGAGCAGTTATCAGAGCTTGTATAACAGCAGGTTAGTTTGCTGACGTTTCTCTCATTTAAAACACTGTTTGGTTTCCCCAGGCCCGCAGGAACAGCCTGAGCGAAGCAGTGGTTCTGCAGGCGATCCGCAACGCAAAGGGGAACAACTTCTGTGTGGACTGTGATGCTCCAAGTTGGTACCACACATCAACAGCTTTTCTCCGCTTTGTATGCATTTGTGTCTCTCTGCTTTTGGTCTTTCCACCGGCTGACATTTACTGTATTTTAAAATACAGTATGTGAGGAAAATGAATTACTATTGTAGAGTAGTTAACATGCAATTAACACTTAAGGTGAGAGAATCCCAAATGATCCGAGTGCTCGCTTGTGTACCATCACTCTTAGGCACAATCTCAGTCTGAGTCGTGTGTGTGTGTGTGTGTGTGTGTGTGTGTGTGTGTGTGTGTGTGTGTGTGTGTGTGTGTGTGTGTGTGTGTGTGTGTGTGTGTGTGTGTGTGTGTATTTGCCTCTGGAGGGAAACATATTATATTGAGAACTGTACATAATAATGATAAATTAAACTATTAGGAAGCGACATACACACATTTTCAAGAATATTTTTGAAAATGAATAGGATGAATGTTTATGCAAAGAGTCATTAATATACCCTGTATTTAGAATCTGGATCTCAATATGAATAAAGCAAAACAAAAATAGATCAAATACTGAATATTCCTCCCATGTTTGAAGTGCCAATGTTTCTGGGGAATATTATGTTTGGCACATTGGCCTCAGATTAAACAGCCCTGCTTTAAAACCTGTCCAAATAGGATTTCACACAACTTCTGTCATTTTCATGGCAAGACTTGGCAAAACTGGCTTACTTAAATGTCACACAGCAAATTGAATGGTAGAAATCTGTCAACAAAATCAACATAGTTCAGTTTCAAATAAACTAGCGACTTAATTTGTTGTTTGCACCCTTTTTTCTCTAAGATCCAACCTGGGCCAGTCTGAATCTGGGCGCTCTCATATGCATCGAGTGTTCAGGGATCCACAGAAACTTGGGAACCCACCTGTCGCGTGTTCGCTCGTTGGATCTCGATGATCTTCCACGAGAGCTCACGCTGGTTCTCAGTGCCATCGGTAACCACATGGTTAACAGTGTATGGGAGGGGCGCACGCTAGGCCGTAAACCAGCACCTGATGCTTCACGGTAAACACCATCATGTCATGAAACTAAACACTGCTCTAGCTAAATGTTGTGTTTTGGTATGAGCTGCTATCTTAGAAATAGTGTGTCATGTAAGTTGTATGTTAAGTTTCACTAGAGCGATATTTTGTTGTCATTCTTGTATTGAAGAAGACAAGAAATGTATTTCACTGAATATTCATTATTTCTCTTTGCTTTCTTTGCGTGTTTAGTGAGGAACGGGAGTCGTGGATCAGGGCCAAATATGAGCAGAAACTGTTTGTGGCGCCGTTGCCCCCTCCCACTCCTGGCGAGGGCCCAGACATCACACTATCTGGCCGTCTCCTGCTGGCAGTGATGGAGCACAATCTCCCCAAGCTGCTGCTCCTGTTGGCCCACTGCTGTAAGGAGGACATTAACGCTCCTCTCAGCCTGGCGCTCTCCTGCAGGTCGCTGCTAGCGCTGCGGCTGCCCGCCTCTGCCCTGCACGCTGCCTGTCAGCAGGCTGATGTGGTAATGACGCAGCTTCTTCTTTGGGTACGTTTTCCTCCTTCTCTTGTTAAAAAAACCTTAGTGGGTGGTCTAATACATACTACTGAAGAAATAGGAACTTAAAGTGTAGTATTGACAAGGTGTGAAATGGTTTTACATTCCTTCTATATGTGAAATATCATGTAGAGTTATGCAAAACTGGCAAGATAATAAATGTTACCCTTCAAGAACCTCTAAGTAAATCCCTCAGCAAAAAAACAAAGCTTAATAACCGATGACTCAGCAGACCGCTCAAGGTGATCTACACGTAGGAGGAAAGGAATTAAAGCTCATTGAGTCACACCATGTTGAGATTATTTAAGACAGACCTGTCTGGTTGAAGTTGGAATTTATTCAACAGATAAAACTTCCTTAAAGGTATAATATATTTATTTTATTGGTTGATGCATAAAAACACTCACATTTAAGTTAACCACAGAGAGAGAACGAGCATCGTTGGCTGAGCTAACTGTGTGAATGAAGAGATGGAGAGACGTCAACAAGAACACAGCAGCAAATAAGAAAAAATAAAAGCCAAATTCTGATTGTTGCATGGCATATTGTTAAACACAAACAAACACACCCACACCCATTGGGTACCGGATTTTGAATGAAAGCAGTGGAAGCACACCCAGGGGATGGGGGAAGGAGGGGTCATAAAACACACAGCGTAATACCAGCCCGTTCTCAATCCAGGTCATCAAACTATTTCTATTTTATTTGTATTTACTTGCACATCTCAAAACATTCTCTTGCACTATTTTATCTGTTTATTTGTTCTATGTCCTATATATACTCATGTTGCACTGTTGGAGGAGCCTGTGACCTAAGTTTATCATTGCCATATCTACACTGTAGCTAATGTGCACATGACAATAAAGCCTTGAATCTTGAAGATCTTGAATCAAATACCACTGCTTCGTAACATATGGACAGAAAAGGGTGCAGGTATCAAAGAGGAATTTTGCTACCTTAAAATGGAATGAGTTGTGTCATTTGCCAGGGGTTGCACACCCATGTGGGGCCCAAAATTAATTTGCTGACACCCCTAAAGGAGAAGGTCCAGGCAGAGGGTCTGTCCATAAATTATGATTGAGAGGGATTACTTTTCAATGAGTTCATTCATTATATATTTTAGGAAAAATGCCGCATATTAAACCTTTAACATTTATAACATAACATAATCCATTGATTTATCTTCTTTATTTGATTGACTGCAGTACGGCTTTGATGTCCGGTACCGGGATGCTCAGGGCCACACCGCTCTGGTTCTGGCTCGCAGTGCTGGCAGCCAGGAGTGTGTCGACATTTTACTGCAGCACGGATGCCCAAATGAACCGGCCTCCTCCTTCACTGTCGCGACGACAGTTGGTTTTACAGCAGCTGCCACACCCAGCTTCCCTGTTGCCATGACGCCGAGCCTGACGGTTGCTACGACACTCAAGATCTCGCACAAGAGCAGCGGCGCCAGCTTGAGTTACAGTACCTCTAGAAGAGCAGTGTCGTAAACTGTGTGGTGTGGTCAATGTGTGTGTGTGTGTGTGTGTGTGTGTGTGTGTGTGTGTGTGTGTGTGTGTGTGTGTGTGTGTGTGTGTGTGTGTGTGTGTGTGTGTGTGTGTGTGTGTGTGTGTGTGTGTGTGTAGTTTGCCCTCATACGGTCCTGTACTGTACCTTCACACAGGCCTACAGGACTGATGAACATGTTGCCAGATGTTGCACTTCCTGATGTTTTAAAGGCTGTGTGTGTTTATGTCAGGGATGAAAACACACACTGGTAATAAAACAGTCACATGAGGCTACTAGAATGATTTAACCAAAACAAAAAGATACATTTTCCTTACTACACTTTCTACGTAAGATAAAAGGACATGACGTTACATTCAGATGCCTCATTAGGAATGTATTGCACTGTGTACCAGCCGGTATGATTCATATTTCATCATGCAGTCGATATTCAACCTTATTCTCCGCTCAGTTAAGAATGGGAATTTGCCTTTGGCTCAAACAGCTTATCTGAGCATCTCGGGCCCAGAAGTAAAGAACTGCAATAAGTTTACGATTTCATTGACAGAAGTTAACGCTAAACACATGAACACTTCTTAACTTTATTAACAAAGAATGTCACTTTTAAATTCAGAGTGCATATACTGTGTTATGCTAAATACAGGCAGTCGTTAAATAAAAAATTAAAATGTTGTCAGAGTAAAAAAAATATAAACTTGACTGTGGCTGAGAGGTCACTTTATAGATAATTAAAATATCTGTATAGAAATGCATTGATAAAAATAGAATTCTAAAAATGTAAAAGTGCTTCATTTTCAAGATTGTTATTGTATGATTTGTACAGTTGGTTATGTGTCAAATGTAAAAAACTCAAAGGAATTACTTATAGCTGTTCAGAAAAATCCTGTACAGCGTCTTGGTTTGGTTTTTCTTTAACAACCACCTGATTAACTCTTCGACATCCAAGACTGAGATGTCTATGTTATGTTTGTATCACTGTGTGTGACATGAGCACTGTACATGATGTGTGAATTATGAATCCAGCAGCAGGTCATCATCAAGGCCAGTGTAATACTAGATGTGTAAATGCCTTGATTTTGATTGAATGTATACAAAACAGATGGTATGAGTTCATTATCTCAAACAGTGATGATGCAGTATTGGTGGACTGTTGGGGTGTTTCATTTTTTTTATTAACTAATATTATTCCAGCTGTGACTAATAGAAAGTATGTTTTAATAGATTCAAGCTCTGCAAAGGTTCTGATCTATAAAACTGGGACTTTGGATGTCTATGAATATATTTGTAAGTGGATGAAAATCCACATGAAATAGAGGAATGTTGCCCAGTTTAAAAAAAAAATGTTTAAAAAACAACCCTCCTGCAGTACTGTATGTAATTTTGTGTTGATCTAAAGACTCAGCTGAGTGTACATGTCCGTGATGTAAGCATCTCTCCATTTGTATTTTTTTACTCATGCAATTATTCATAGAGCATTCATTATCAATACACTAAGGCTTCTGCCCAAGCTGTGGTGTTAGGTACAGAGTTGTGTGTTTTCTCTGTGTCTGGGCTTCAAAAGGCTAGCTGAATTTATTTTTTTAGGATTTTCTCAGTTTCTAGCTGTGTCCAAATGAACAACAGCCGTTTACAGGGGTGAGAGAGACTTTAGCAAGCAGGAACATCATGCAGTATAGTTGCATCACATATGCTGCTGCGCAGAGGGTTTGTGTTTCAAACAGCTCCTGTTGAGAGCTGATTTCTTGACAGGTGCAGCAAGCAGCGAGCGGCCAACACTTAAAAGTCGACAAGCATTTGATGGTGAGATATTCTGGGTCAAACCAGTTCACGATAAAGGCCTCTGCAGGCTTTGACCTACTTCTTTCTAGGTCGTTGCGATGAACTCATTTTAGACCATGATGGATAGTTTCAGTTTTGTGGATTCACAGGTAAAAACACATAAAAAAACTAAGGTGACACAACATGGGAATGCTTACACTGTAGAATGATGAAATACATAATAGTATATGTTGATTGTCAGGAACTATATTAAAATATCCCAAAAGTATTTGGTTGGGATACATCATGAAGAATCCCAAAAATACAATGTCAGTTGCTTATGGTTTATTGAACTGAAAGTACCAAACGGAAAGAAAGGAAACGCACAAATCTGAGAACTTAACCGCCTTTTACTGACACACACAGCAACATGTGATTCGATGACTGTATTATTGTGCCAATGAGGCAGATTATAACGAGAGAAAGGCAAAGGGGCCAAGAACAGAGCCCTGAGGTCCTCTAGAATTCACATATTAAAAATATGAATGCAGTGTTAAAGAATTCAGATAGGAAGGATTTTCACCATGTGAGAGGACCGATATGATAAATGTGTTATTGAATTGGTCAAGAAGTATGATCAATGAATGAATAGTGTGGACAACTGCAGTGAAAATACAGCAATAACAGCAACCGTGTGAAATATGAATCCATACTAAGCAGTTTCGGAGGAGGGACTGGATCTAAAAGCACTGAAAATATAAATGTATTACACAATGTGGGCTGTAAATTGCTGAGACAATGTTCTTTCGAGTAGAAGCTGACTTCAGCTTAGACAATAATTCAAAGTGTCAAATGTGTTCGGACAGAAAGTTACTTGGACTTAACGTGTGAATATTGTACTGCAGATATTACAGACATAGTTGGAGACAAGGTTTCTGTAAAATAAAACTAAGATGTCATGAGCCATAAAGTGCAAAACTGCTGACTGTTTGCTGGTTTGGGGTGAGTTTGACTACTGTCAAAAATGTATCTAGAACTTAGTTTGTTATCACTGCTTGAGCCTTTTGGTGCCATGTTTGTCCACTCACTTATTAAAAGCGAAAACCTTCAGATAATCTCAGGAGACTGTTTGAGAGAATGTGTGCCAGGAGGACTGGGACAGGGCAGAGGGACTAAATAAGGACAAAAATGAATGCTTTGCCTCCGAGAATACATTTCAGAGGAATACATGTACTGCCATGATTCACAATGAGCTTTAACTTGCCTTCTCTTTTACAAATACGAAGTTTGTGATTCCTTTTATCCTTTACTCATCTGGGTACATTTTCTTGTTTAATTGTTCATTGCGTTCAAAGGCGAAATGAGAAATACAACGTAAGGCTGGATCTAAGCAACACGATTTGGCAAAAGCCCTTTGATCAATTTACAGCTTAATAATTTGTGTGCTACGGTGCCTTTCAGATGATGCAAGGCTGTGTGTGTCTTCCACTGAAGCATTGCACTGCTATGTCACACAATAAATACTTAACACATAGAGGAGAGGAGCGTTGCCCTCAGCATTACTGGAGCTGTGCAAGTAACTATTTTCAGTTTCAGGCTTTCAAAACATAGGCATTCAACCTCTTATTTAAATGTTCAGCAGATTATTTTAACCAATTCATTCTCCAAAAATGGCAGTGGTGCAATTTTTTGTTTGTTTACTTTTTGTGATCATAGCACATATTCATCAAATCATAATTTAGAATACATCAATGATAAACAACATTTCCAATGGATTGGCTTTGCGAGACTGCTAAATATCATACAATGGTAATTCTTTAAAGGTCCCATGTCATGGCCATTTCTACTGATCATATTTCCATTGTTGAGGTCTAATAGAATAGACTACAGGACTGTCTCAGAAAATTAGAATATTGTGATAAAGTTCTTTATTTTCTGTAATGCAATTAAAAAAATAGTTTTTTTTAATTGCATTACAGAAAATAAAGAACTTTATCACAATATTCTAATTTTCTGAGACAGTCCTGTAGTCTATTCTATTAGACCTCAACAATGGAAANCATCATCATGGAGTTTAAACAAGGTTGTAGATTTTAGGTAGTAGCTGATGTTTTACTTCTCACACAATTTGAGTCTTACAGTTATAGACCAAGGTGTGTTTGCGGGATTTTGTTGGTCGGTCCTATGTTTACTGAGACCGAAGAAGAAAAAAGCTTTTAGTCAGGGCAATACTGTTTTTTCAAGTTTTACCTATCTTTAGTGCTGACATCACTGAGTTTATGTAACGGTTTCTGTACCGGGGTCAGTCACACCATCTCTTTTTTCGGCCCCAAAGTTTTGAGCACTTCTGTGAACTGGGTTTCATATTGAACGGACCAGACTTTTATAAAACGCCTCTTTCGAGACGGTCGGAACATGCAACTTCACTCTCTTTTCCACTGTTGGTCGAACTTTTACACTGGGTGAAGAGATGTTGATGTCTAAACACCAGGTCATCTTGGACACACTCGGTATAGAGTCGAACTGGCAAGTAATGCAGCTGTTGACCCTCAACTTCTCACGTACGGAGGTTTGCAGGAAAAAAAGGCCCTCCTAGTGTGTGCCGCTCTAATTATCGCCGTTCCAAATGTTCTCCGAGAGATAGTACCTTACAATCGGTCTCCGAGCAGTCCACACATAGTGGTGTCTATTGTCCTCATTGTAGCAAGTTTCGACACTCGGAGTTATTCACCTTTCTGACGTTACAAAACCGGTTGGCCGACGTGGAGCGTTAACCCACTCATCCCGATAGACAGACGGAGAAAATAAAAAATATTATAGTCGCTACAATGTTGTCGGACGATCATTTGTGATTCTTATGAAGTATTGCAAAACACGTTAGTTATATGTACTACCGTTGGTGTGGTGAATAAAGCCGGATTCAACTAAATTTTAGCCTGGACTCTAAATCCTGACTAATCATTTTTTGTAATGAGACGTTTCCAAAAAAGAAAGACATAATCACAAGTCATCTATTTGGATGAGTCAGTTCCATTAGTATAACACTATAAAACATTCGGAAATAAATATATTAAACCCGGATACTGAAACGTGACACCGACCATAAATATTTTTATAAACGGTTTTTTATTAACTACTCCACGGGTTGAGGTGCTGACTAACTGACTTAACCAACGGATTTGCTGCATATTTTACAGATTACCGTTGTTTGAGAAACGTCATCCTTATGGTAACCAAACCACCGCCAAATTACGGACCCAGTGCTGTTCTTTTTTTGAACAAGTTCGTCAGCCTCGGCACCTCTATCTTCCATAGTCGTTCCGTTTTTAAATTAACATGTTGTGCTAAGGTTTAAACCATTTAAACTAGCTAACCTTCGCTCTCCTCAAAACAAATGCCTCTCACTGCGTGTGTGTGCAAGTTGGGCGGGGCCTGCGTGTGTGTGTGTGCCTGCGTGTGTGACTGTGTCTATGAGGGAGAAAGGAAAGCTCACTTTCGCCGCGGCGGGAAACTGATTTGACAACGTAATACTCGATGTTCACGATGCGGTCATTTACGAAATCGCATGTAGTGCAATCCACGATGTATTGTGTAAACTCGATATATCGCCCAGCCCTAGTTCCTACACGGACCTGGTTTAGCGTAACACCGGAGATATAGGTTGCCAAGCTAGAGCTAGCAACGCACTCTAACTTGACTCTCCTCACTGAGTACATGTCTGATACTACTATTGCTTGATGGAAAATAAAGAGTGGAAATCCCTTCTAAATACTCCGCCTCCGACTCCTTCTTACCGGCACTACACTATCCGTATTCTTCCTCTCTGCTTTTCTTGGTGATTTTTTTGTTTCTTTTGCATGACTTGCACCTGTGTACAATGTAATTATCTGAAACCATTGGCAGGACTTTGCATTGCACAATATAAACAAAACAGTGGCACTGTCAAGTTTCCTGGGCTTCCAAACATTTCTTTATTGTCTTTTTTATTTACTTATCGCACTGTGTTGATGCATCCTTGATTTCCCCAAGATTCATTGTCTTTTCACTGCTGTTCCCTTGTAGCATATCGTCACGTGCCACGGCAGTACGCTGCTCCCTCAGTTCCTGGCCATGTACAGAATCACCGTGGAGAGCGAGGACACCTACCTGCTAGTAATGAGGAACATGTTCAGCCACAGACTGCACGTACACAGGAAGTACGACCTCAAGGTAAATCCTGGCTTAAACTGATGAGGATTCAGAAACTACTATCAGTATGGACTTTCTTTTGACACTGGCATTGTGGGCTGTTGAAGCATCTGTAGTCATTTTCAACTCAGCTCATTTTGCCACCTGACTGCTGAATGTTATGTAAAACACTGACTGACAATGGTCCTGTGATTGATTGAACAGAATTACAGTTTAAGAAGTTATGTGTGAATACTGTATAGTGTCTGTTGTATTTTGGCTCAATAGTTCACTTTTAGTGAATATGGGCGTCTTTTCTTTCCTCAGGGGTCTCAGGTGTCTCGTGAAGCAAGTTTTAAAGAGAAGGTGAGATCGAGAAAAGGTCGAATGATAAGCTCTAGTAAACTCCACATTCTTATAACCAGTATAGAAACCCCCAAGCTATGTATCATAGCTTAGGCTCAGAGAAAAAGTGCTGCAGGGATGATGTATTTTTGTAGGTCAACACAGAGGTCAGCATAGCACTGGTTGCCTAAACGGAAAGCCAGGTTTGTTTCGATTATTTCAAAATAACACTCTCCGGCAAACACAAGTATATGTGTATATGATAATGACAAAAAAAATATCAGCAAGATAATCTTCACAAATGAACACCACTTCATTTTCAAAGCATAATACCAAACTTATGTGTGTAACCAAACCCTCTACAATTGACAATGTAACATGACGTGGAAGATGCTTACTTAATTACAGTTTTTAAAACACTTTCCTGAAGCACTTTATCTGAAATCCTTATTTTACTGGCAGCATGGTGAGGGCTAAGGATGTATTTGCCCTCACCATAGGCTACTGATATTTCACCCACATGATATTTCCCCCACAATGGATTTGAACTTGCAGAAACTTCAGTCAGATAAAGGATCAATGAGTCAGGCCGTAAATAAATTGTTAACTAAACAACCACATTCTCTCGACCCCGGGGAAGGAGAAGGAGTAGAGGGTTAACAAGTGGCTGCTCTTTCGGTCGTTCTGTTAACAAGGGAGGGTTGGCATCCCACTCATTGCCTAATGCCTACAACGATGTTTATTATTGGCAGTCTGCTGAAGGAATGCAGTCAGGTTTGATTTAAATCATTAGCATGAGTGTTGTCTTGTTTAAAAACTGTCTGTTGATATCAATGCCACAGAGAGAAAAGGTAATATATGACTCACATCAACCTGTTCTCTTTAATATAATTGAACACAAACTAATGAAAACAACTAAAAAGATTTTCTGGTCTTACATTCTTTAAAAAAAGAGTACTTCATTGATTTAATACTGCACTCACATAAAAAAAAAGGCTGAATCCTCAATTTCCCATAAAGTAGCTCCCTTCAGATATTGTCAACTCAACCGTTTTTTCAGGCTCGTTGGTATTTCTCCTGAAGATTAACCAGACGTTCATGTTAAATTGCGCAGTGCCCCTTTAGCAGTCCCCCAAACCAGCAGAGTGAAATGTTAGGAGCCTGGGAGGTGAAATAATTATAGTGAGGTCTTAGAGAACTGTAATTAAATTGATAAAAGGTCAATTAAATCTATAACTCTTTGTTGCATGCTAAACGATAACAACGTAATGAGATGAATTGGCTGCAGCTGAGCCACGGGCCTATTTGCAGGTGTGGGCGTATGTTAATTTCCCCCCAGTTTGAAATGCTGTATATCTAACAACAACAAACCAGAGGAATACTGTATGAAATGTGCGACTGAGGGCAGAGTATGAAATCACATTCCCAATATTTTATATAATTGTTATTGTTTTTGACACATATGAGTTTAATATTAAATGTTCAGATATATTTGCACAGAAATCCACTTAGCAAATAGACTTTAAATAACATAAGAACCCCTCTGTTTGGCTTGACCTCAATAACTAGACTACAAAATAGCTTTGTCAATGGATGGAGTCTAAATAACTGCAGGAAACCTTTGATCTTTCCAACTGTGTTCATTAAAACAAAATGTGGGGTATGATTATTTGACATTTATGTTGTTGGAAATTGCCTGAGAAAACTGCTAAAGGATATTGTGATCTATACGCTAAAATGTACATTTAATGTTTGATGACCATAGCTCTTTATTTCCAGATGAAGGAGCTTCCCACTTATAAAGATGTAGACTTCAGGAATAAGATGCAAAAAGTGTATGTGAGCGCCGAGGAGAGGGAAAAGATCATGGACAAACTGAACAGAGATATCGAGGTAAGAAAACTGTTGGAGAAGCGACCATTGTTTTCTCATACGTAACTTGTTCACATGTATGTCCTCTCACTGCAGTTTCTGGTGCGTATGAAGATCATGGACTACAGCCTGCTGCTGGGCATCCATGATGTTGAGCGGGCCGAGAGGGACGAGGGGGACGAGGAGGACACGGAGTCGTCCTATGAAGAGGAAGAGGTGGAGGAAAACGGCCTGGCTCACGCTCCGTGCTCCACCTCACCTGAGGGTATCGGGGGCTACACGAACTCCTTCAAACCGATGGGCCCTGGCGAGTTCGACCCTTACGTGGACGTGTACGCTATTCAGAGTGCTGTGGGTGAGTCGGGACAACTGAGATATCTCTGCTGAGTTTAAGTAGGTCACAGGAGCTCTGTGCTGTTATTAGAGAAGTCTCAAATCTGGTATTTATGGTAATTGTTATATTTAAAAAAGGAAAACATATATTTTGTTTGTAATACTTATGACAATATCATAAATATTAAGTCATGTAAATAATGAAGTAAATAAATGCTTGTGCCTTAAAGGTGGGGTAGGTAAGTTTGAGAAACCGGCTCGAGATACACTTTTTGTTATATTCCATGGAATGCTCTTAACATCCCGATAGCAATGAATATCTTAAGTGCTTTGACAAAAAATCCATAAAAAATGTAATCTGTGGAAGCCGTGGTGCTGCAAAAAGCACGACCAATCATTTTAGCCGGCTCGGCTAAAATAACTGGATGGCCTACCTGCCTGTCAGCCTTCCATCTGTGCACACACTTATCTCGTGCCCTCATGGCTCATTGGTCATGTGCGCGTTCGTGTGTGTTGGAGGAGGGGCTCTGTATGGAAGTGGCAGATTTTCTCCGGTCGTGTATTTTCAAATTCTAGCGCACTCGAGCTGGTTTCTCAAACTTACATACCCCACCTTTAAATAGTTACAAACTCTCTTTGCACCTCAATCGTATAAATTACTTGTTTTATTGTTGTTTTTTTCTAAAGATATTGCAATTATTTATAAGATATGATAAGATAAAATAGACCTTCATTCATCCCCGTAGGGAAAAAACGTTTGCATAGCAGCAACAGAATAAGAGTTCACATAAGGATTATAAGAATAAAGTAAAAAGGAAAGTAACCGTATGAATAAAAAAACTAAACAATAATAACATAAGGTAGCTGAATTTACATAAAGACAGTAGTGCCTAGATGTTGATGTTAAAGCTTTGATTGTGGAGCCTGATTGTCATCAAAATCTAGTGAAAGTCTGATATTGTGTCACCCCTCGTTGTAATACACTTGAACCTCATTTAATGCTGGGATGCAGTAGATGAGGGCATGTGTGCATATAACTGGCTGAAGGCTGTGAATCCCTCCCATGTAGATGCACCGCAGAGGGAGGTGTATTTCATGGGCCTGATTGACATGCTGACACAGTACGACACCAAGAAGAAGGCTGCTCACGCTGCCAAGGCTGTCAAACACGGGGTGAGAGGTTTAAACGGATTGGTTGGCATATTCTGTCTTTACATGTCTATCCTGTGAAGTGTTAAGGTTTGCTTTCATGTTTATTCAGTTTTCTTTAATAGACTGTGTCTGTGTGTATTTTTATTTATGCAGGCAGGAGCAGAAATCTCCACAGTTCATCCAGAGCAGTACGCTAAACGTTTCCGGGAGTTTATCACTAAGATCTTTGCTTAGTTCAATGATTCAGTAGACTCCCGTCCTCATGTTATACAACAGGAGTCTCATTACGCAATACTTATGCAATCTAGAACCAAATGAAGACACACTGAACTTGTATTGTTAATTTTTAAATTATCTACATATCTTTTACCCTTAATAATACTATGAACTGAAGGACTGTGCATTCATTTTGAATGAAGATCAGGCTTTGCATTCAGGAGTAAATGTCTTCTTGGCATCTGGTCTTTTTTAATGGGTTTTCTTTTGTTTTCATTTTTTGGCAATACTCCAGCCCCCATCACAGAAGAAAAGCTGAAATGATGATAAAACATATTAACACAATAATTGTGGCAATTCTCTTTTGCTGCTGCAAGTATGTAAATTTTGTTCTTGATTATTAATTTATGTCTGCCTATTTTTTCTACTAGTGACAACACATTGCAACACAAGAATAATTTGGGCAAATATACACAGTCTGAATTGGGAACAATGCATTATTCATCTCATTGTCAGCCCCAATGTGTGATTGAAGCTTGTAATAAACAATGTTATCTTACTAAAATGTTGCCATATGCAAAAATGTAAATGAATAGCACTAAAACAATGATTTAAAGAACTGCCAGCTGTTGAACATTGCCTAATACTGACAGCTTTTTAAAGGGCCCATGTCATGCTTTTCCGGTTATTACCCGTCCCCTTGTGTGTTATGTAGCTTTTTATGCATGTAAACGGTCTGCAGAGTCAAAACCCCTCAAAGTACACCCTGTAGCGAGTAAAACTCTAATACACCTCCCCAAAACGCCTCGTTGGAGATTTCTCATTTTCCATTACTTTCTTCCTGGTTTCTGTGACGTGTGAACACCCAAATCAACAACAAATGACCGTATTGGCCCAAATGGACCAATCCGCGGAGCACCTCACACACCAGGATCCCTTGGCTAACTAACAGGGAGTCCCCTTTGACTTGCATAGAGTAATAGACGAGTTGGCTCTCCGCAGACCCATTCTCACAGCGTTCTAAACCTTTTTCTTACTCAATATCAAGCGACACTTATTGTTTTTACTTCAGCTGTGAGTGTTTGTGTGTGCTCAGGATGAGTTTCGCTTGTTCTCGCTGTATCGCCGACCCGGAAACCTGTCCGCTCCTCGCAGCAACGAGCCTCGCCGCAACGTCCCGACCAATCAGAGCACACTGAGCTCACAGGGAGGGGGGGGGGGGGGACGCACCTGTTTATGTTTTACCGTAAGTGTTTGCGACTCCAGCACTCTCTCTGAGTGTTTAAGGCAAAACAAAGAAGAAAATTTATTAATACCATAAGTAGTCTAGAAAAAATGAACAACTTGTTATAACGCACGATAAAGTGTCTAGGCAAAATGCTAACCACAATGTAAAGGAAAAAGCACTCGAAAACGTTTAGAAAAATATTACGTAGAACACCTTGCCTCAAAGTAGTAAACAGCGAGACTTCTTGTCCAACACTTTAAAGGACGCTCCTTTTAGTTCGTGCAGACGAGTTCTACAGGTACCAGTACCCGGGAAAGATGACTACGTATGCATAGGTACGCAACTCACGATATCCTTTATTAAGTGTAACAAGTTTACAAAAGGTTTGAGTGGTACCGAAAGAGTTTGTCGGTAGCAGACATAGTCGTACAACACATAAGAGTGAGAGACAGAGCATGTGCGAACAAC